ATAATTTATTTTTGATTTAATAACATAACATTTTATAAAGATAATAATTAAGTATTTTGTTAGAACTCAATGATTATCTTAATTGTATTTTAGATTTTTTATATTTTAAAATGAGATATTTATCCTATATTTAATCATGTTTATCTGCAATTAGTTATACGAATTCAGATATGTAGCTTTAATAAGTTATACTTATGCACAATCTATTTGTAACATTGAGTTTTAAATAACATGCATTAATAAACAGTATTTTATGAATAAAACTTGGTTTGTAAGAATTTTTATCAAATGTTCTATAGTATAGATATTATTTTTTTTCCAGACATTTTATTTTTAAAAAAAAAGTTATTGGTGAAATATAAAAAATGTTTATCTTTCATGTTAATCATTTTCTAGGAGTTATTCCATTTCAGAGAATTTCACACCCTTTTCCTACTTTCCTCATTTTAGAGAAAATTTTGGAGAATTTGAGGGTGCGTATGGTATTGAGACGTTATAGGATAGGATAGGATGTGACAAGGTATGACAGAACAAAAGAATTTAACAACTGTTAGACGTTTGATAAGACATAAATGACATAATAAAACAGTTAAAATGATCAATTTATCCCTAATGATTATATATTTTGATTAGTTTATGTAATTTATTAAATTATAATGAACTAAATACCTTTTGCAACAAAATATATCATTAGAACTTTTTTTTCAAAACGATTAAAATGACATCAAAATAAAAAATTTATATATTTTTCAATTTTTTTTAATACTTTTTCTATATTACTTTCTATTTCTGATATTTAATAAATTATATAAATTAATCAAAATATAGAAACCATATAAAAATAATATTTTGAGAACAATAAAGTTAAAATTTAAAGAGGATTAAATTCAATGAATAATATCTAAAAGAGAATGAATAAAATGTAAAGGTGGGGAGCATTTGATATTTTAGAACATAATTTATCTTTTATTTTGAGGATATATATATATATATATATATATATATATAATTTTGAATTAAAATTTTAATTCAAAGACATTTTAGGTATTTTCTCTCCTGTCTCCTGTCTCCGTCCCCCGTCTTTCGGTGATACCACTGTGATACCTAAAAATATTGACTCTATTAAACAAAAGACACAGTGTGATACTCAAGCACATATAAGTTGTATTGTGATACAACTGTGTTACATCTCCGATCGACCACACAAACGACCTCAGTGTGATAATCAAGCACATATAAGATGCATTGTGATACCACTGTGATATCACCGGAGAACGGAGGACGGGGGACGGAGAGAGGAGAATCTTAAAATACCTAAAATTACAAAGTTTCTAATTTATCGATTGATTTGTGGTTAAGATTGGACTTCACGGTTACCACAAACTAATTAGTTCTCATTTAATCACTATATATGTATATATATTAGTAAAATATATGTCTGTTTTACCTTGTTTCATGGGTTGTAGATGGAACACGCCTATTTCACTTTATCTCATTATGTCCTATTATGTTCCACATAAAAAAAAGTTGTCAAACTTGATTCAATGAACCAAACGCAGTGTCATGGAGCAAAAGATTACCCAAACTTCTCGTTTCTCCATTTTGGAGAATGTGTTAGAGAAGATCTTTGATCTAAGCTTCATCTTTCGAGAAACTTACAAAAATAGAGTTTTTTTAGTGCAGTTCCAACAAATTCTCCAAAATTTATTTAAAATAGAGGGTCAAAATCAATATTTCCAAAACAAAATTATATTCAACTCCAACAACACTTTAGTGATTATAACATCAATTATATTATTTAAATATTAAATATATTTAATAAAATATTATTTCCTCTTATAAATATTCCATATTTAAAAAACTTTACTTATTCTCACCAACCTTATTCTTTTTAAAGAAAATTTTACAAAATGTTTTTGTATAAAAAAAACTTAGAATTTCCATTTTCTATATCTATATTATATTATAAAACATTTGACAAAAACTCTTAAAAACAATTTTTTATGCACGAAATACTGTTTATTGATGCATATTACTTAAATTTAAGATTACAAATAAATTGTGTATAAGTACAACTTATTAAAGCTTCATACTTGAATTCGTCTWACTAACTGCAGATAAACATAATCAAATATTTGATAAATATCTCATTTTAAATATATAAAATCTAAAATATAATTAGAATAAGCATTGATAACTAACAAAATACCTTGTTATTATCTGTATAATAATATTATATTATTAAACCTAAATTAAATTTATTTGTTACTAAACCTAAATTAAATTATATTAAAAAAAATTTAATCAAGGAACTTACATCAAAACACAAAAACTTTTAAAAAGATTAATTTAATATTGATATTGATATTATTTTTTTCTCAAAATTTTATGAAATTTTTAAATTTATATTTTATTCAAAAATAAAAACATTATCACTTTTTTAAAACCACATAAAACCAATGTTTACTTAAAATTGAAGATTATAAGTAAATTATGCAAATGTACAACTTATTAAAGCTCGATGTTTGAATTCGTATAACTAATTGCGGATATACATAATCAAATAGAAAATAAACATCTTATTTTAAAATATAAAAAATCTAAAATATAATTAGGATAATTATCGATTTCTAACAAAATAATTAATTATTATTTTAATAAGAAAATTATATTATTAATCCGAATATAAATTACTTCGTTATTGTACCTAAATTAAATTATAATAAAAAAAATTGAATTAAAAAATTACACAAAAAATGAGGAAATAGTTAATTTGATACGAATATCGATATATTTTAGTTATGCATAAAGTATTGTACATTGATGCATATTACTTAAAATTCAAGATTACAAGTAAATTATGTATAAGTACAACTTATTAAAGCTCGATTTTTGAATTCGTATAACTAACTACGGATAAACATAATCAAATAGATGGTTAAATATCTCATTTTAAAATATAAAAAATTTATAATTAGAATAATTATCGAGTTATAACAAAATAAATAATTATTATATTTATAAAAAATTAAGTTATTAAACCAAATATAAATTACTTCGTTATTGTACCTAAATTAAATTGTAAAAAGATTGAATTAAAAAATTACACAAGAAAATGAGGAATTTTAATTAGTTAATTTGATACTAATATCGATATATTTTTGTCAATTTTTTATGATATTTTCAAACTTATATTTTATTAAAAAAAATAAAAACATCATCGTTTTCTCAAAATCACATAAGACCATATTATAACATCGACTGAGATAAATAATAAAATAAAATATTATAATCATGATGTATCTCACTGCATTGTACGAGTACCCTTCTATTATTAAAAAATATGTTCAAAAATGCAGTTAGATTTCTTTGTAAAAATAGAGCGATTTACATCAATTTACAAAAATCACGAGGTTGGTGCAGAATGATTAAAAGACTCTTATAATATAATGCAAAATAAAATATAATTGTTTGGTAATTATTCAGAATGAAATTAGAGTGCTAAATGGTTAAGAGATACATAAGATACAAAACCATTCATATGGTTTTAGAACCATTAAGAGACAGATTTTTTTTGCTAAACAAGAATCATCTCTTAACGATTCAGAGACTGCCTATTAATGGAACCCTCAGCAGACGCAAACGACTTGGGTGGTGACTTAAGTAGCTTGGAAAGTTGCTCAAACTTAAAAATCAGGCTTCCAGAATCCCAAGCAACTTGTGAAGCAATTTAAGTCACTTGGCACTTTATGTTGTGTTTTTAAGTTGTTCCCCGACTTCACATGCGACCAAACATGCACAGGAGGCCCTTTAATGCCTCAGATGATTTTCATCTTAACTTTTCTTTCATCCTAAATCAACCATGACCTTTGATTCAAATGCCACAAAAATTCAATAATGATTGGACACCAAATAAGTTATTTCGTTATTATACCTAAATTAAATTGTAAAAAAAATTGAATTAAAAAATTACACAAAAAAATAAGAAATTTTAAATAGTTAATTTGATACTAATCGCATAGCTCATTTGGGTTGTTTAGTTACAGCTTATTTGCAAAGAACATGACTTAATCGCATAGATAGAAATAGTGTGTTGTCTTCGTTCAACCACAAAAATGACACTCTACCCCTTATTTAAAACACCGCTTTCTTCCCATATTAGACACCCCATCTTCGGCCTCTTTATGATTTTTGTTTTGATATTCAAATAATTAATATTGGGGGGTAAATTGGTTATTTATGTTATTCAGACTGTTGTTCAGATAAAAAAAGTAAGCACCAACATCTATTTATCTAGACAAACAAATTTATCCATACATGATTCGATAAAAAATTTGGTAAAAATATTATATTCCTTAAAAATATTTTTATTTTAAGAGATATTCCTAAAGCTATTATGTAATTCGTGATTGATCTTCTAGAATGTTCATTGTCTAGTGTCTGCCAATAGTCACAAAATGGGATTTAATGCACTGCTTCTAGAAACTTTCAAAGCCGTCCATTCGAGTCGCCGTGGGTCTACCCACCAAGAATATTCAAAAATTAAATATTGAATTTAAAGAATCGTGGATTTGATATCTATACTATATTATAAAATATTTGGCTAAAACTCTTAAAACTCTTAAACTCTTAAAAACTNGGAATTTTTTTCAAAAATTTTTTTAATTATTTTTTAATTTAATCAAGATTTCTTAAAAAACGGGCGGATATTTTCCGGCGGCCGTAATCCGCCGGAAACTTGGAAAATCCGCCGGAAAAACCGCCAGAAAAAAAATCACCGGCGACCCTTTTTCCGGCGGCCAAATCCGCCGGAAATCCACCGGAATTTCCTTTTTCCGGCGGATTTCCGGCGGATTTGGCCGCCGGAAAAAGGGGTTTTTTTGGTAGTGATATGATGGAATTGAATGGTCAATTTCGTTGTTGAATTGAAAGATTCCCAAATTTGACGAATTCACCATTCCTTACTAAATTTGAACCCTAGCCGCTGCGTTCTTTCATCGTTGCTTTCTGCTTTCATCGATCGAATGCTGCTTTCATCGTGTCTAGCATATCTTATAAGTCCTAAACTGATTTGAGAGACTGAGTTCTTATTTTTAGAACTTCCAATGCTTAGTGATTGTTTTGATGTTTTGGAACATTTTGTTCACTTACTTCCTCTTGGTTGATTTCTTAATATAACATTGTGCATACTATTACAAGTTTTATAAAAATTTGAAATTTCGTCCCTTCACTCTTGGTATTTAAAAATGAGAACCCAAGTATAGAATATCATCACTAAAAAATAATTTTATAGGACGCCTAAAATATAGAAGCGCTCTAGAAAAATACTTTATAGGACTTACGATAATTATAGGATCAAACCAAAAAACGTTCTATCTAAAACTGTTGCAATAGGTTTATAGGATGAGTTTTTGCATTTTAGGTTTTTAGGCGTTTTATGCATTTTATGAAGTGTAGTATTAATATAACGCTATTTGAAAAGATGTTATATAAACACAAATGTTCTATAAATAGACGGTTTTATAAGACAATTCTCAAAAGTGTCCTATAATAGGACACTTTATTTTAAAAATGTGTTAATTAATAAGACACTTTATTTTAAAAACGTGTTAATAAATAAGACACTTTATTTTAAAAACGTATTAATTAACAGGATATTTTATTCTAAAAACGTGTTAATTCATGGGTTAGAAGAGTATGTATTAATGGATTGAGATCAAATTCCATAAAATATGTTAGTGAGCTCAATCAAAAGACAAGATTAAAACAGTGTAACTGATTATAGTAAAAGAAACAATAACTTTTAAGGAAGATTCAATTTAAGAATATCAAAACAATACATCAGTTTCTTATTATGATCACTATAACTAAATTAATTTTATAGGACGCCTAAAATGTAGAAACGTCCTAAAAATATATTATAGGACTTAAGTTTATAGGACTAAACCAAAAAGTGTCATCTAAAAATGTTACAATAGGTTCATATGACGTGTTTATGCATCGTAACAAATTTTTATGACGGTTTTATAATAAAGTGTAGTATTAACTATTTTATATGACACTATTTGAAAAAGTATTATGTAAACACAAATGTTCTACAAAAAGATGAGTTTATAAAGATACTTTTAAAAGGTGTCCGATAAAATGGCTAATAGGACACTTTATCTTAAACGTCCTAAAGGACTTGTGAAAACGCCTAAAAACGTTCCATAAACCTATTGTAATGGTATTAGATATAAATCTTTATATTTTGGTCCTATAAAACTAAGATCTATAATGTATGATGTTGTAAAAAGCCAATTTTTTTGTAGTGAATGATGGACGCCATGAAAATTTTAAATTATATATATTACGTATGTAAAACACAAGAAAGCTATGACTTCAAGAGTGTTTACTTTGGAATATTATCTTTGGTCGCCTTTACCCTACTTTTTAATATACAAAATTTGGTTAAAAATCCATATATAACACTACATGTTTACATGACATATTTATAAAAAAAGATTAGTTTTGGCCCCCTCGGTTATGAGTCTCGTGTTCCGCCCCTGAACAACACGTAGACGTAGGCTAATTAGATTGTTTTGGAACGAGATTTCTATCTTTTGGTATTTCACGATGATTTTCAAATTAATAGCCAACTACCAAACAGATAAACCATGTATTTGATATTCTTTGTTAAATGTGGATCGATATTCAATATTACATAGGCATGCTTATGAGTGATACTATTTATCACATCTTAGGATGAATAGAAGGTGTTTAAGTAAGTTATGTGATATGCTTGAAACTTTAGGAGGATTACAAGCAAGTAGGATATGGGTATTTATGTTTATGTTTATGACTTTATGTTTACCATAGTTATGACGAGTCATGGAAGAAACTATCGAGTTTGGTCTGCACTCGAAGATGTTAAACTGGTTGAAAGTTTGGTAAATATGGTAAACACTGGAGTGTATAAAGCTGACAATGGCTTCAAATATGGATATTTACAACACTTAAAACAAACGCTAAAAGAATCAATTCCCAATTCTGGTATATTGGGTAAACCTCATATTGAGTCAAGGATAAAGACAATGAAAGAAGACTGGCAGGTTGTTTATGACATGATGCATGGTAGTAATACTAGCGGTTTTGGTTTTGATAGTGAAAAATATTGTGTGATTGTTGAACCACCAGTCTGGGAGGCCTATCTACAGGTACAAATTCATTGTTTTTTGTGTAATTATGATATAGGTTGTTTTATAATTAAATGTTACAACTTATGATATAATATAGGTTCACAAAGAGGCCGAGAAATGGAAAAACAAGACATTTCCTCATTTTGAGGATTTGTGCAATGTTTTTGGCAAGAATAGAGCTAATGAGAGTAGAGCAAGAGATGCAATGGACATGGAGGATGCAAGCATGGAAGACCATATCAATCAATTCAACAACAACCTTTCTGATGATCAAAATGATGCCTCTCATTCACACACAAATGTGCAAAGTCAAGAATGCGCAAGTGGTAGCAAGAAAAGGAAAAACATGAATGATTCTTTGCATGAGGTAATCAACAATGCAACTTACGCTTGGTAACAAACTTATGAAAGCATCGACATCATTAGTGGAAGTTGAAGTTGAAATGCTAAAAAAAAAATTCCATGATTGCCGATGAGCTTGAGAAGTTCGGGACATTTTCAGAAACTGAATGTTTTATGCATTGCGAAAGATAACAAATGACTCTGAATCTGTGATCGCTTTCTGGAGCTTGAAGGAGGAAAGACGTGAAAACTGGGTCCGTTTCATGTTGGACCAATGATCAGTTGGTGACAAAAAACAATATATTTTGGTTACGTTAGACCAAAGATCAATTGGTGGTAAAAAAACAATATTTTTTGGTTACGTTAGACCAATGATCGGTCTATATTGCTTGGACAATATTGTTGTTACATATTGCTTGGATGCTATGGTTCGACAACTTCTACCTATATGTAAACACTTGTTGGTAACAATATTTGTATATGTGTATTTGATGTGTCAACTTGTATGAACGGTTGGGTTTATGGTTGCTTGAACTTTTTACACGTTTTATGTTTATATATGATTCAATCAATGGTAAACATTTTTTCCTCATTAAATGTTAATTTTATTGTTATTTGTAATTAAAAAAAATTAAAAATATCAAAGAAAGGATATTTTTGTCCTTTTTCATCATTCCATTTCAATTTTGTTGCAAACCAAACACTCAGATTCCAATTCATTAGACAAATTAAATTTCATTTATGTCAATCAAACACTTGGTCAAACCTGATAACGTTTCATTCCAACTCTTTTCAGATTCCAATTCTTTTGACAGATTCTTTTACTTTAGGAATCATTCTGCGAACCAAACGCCCTAGGTTGAGTTTGTCAATTGAATCACAGATTGGTTTGTTCATTTGTTTTCTGCTGCTTTGTTCATTGATAGTCTGATAGGGTTGAGTTTTAGGAGACCTTAACCATTCATATAGCTTATGCACATACACGATAAATATACAATATGATGTAGCCTTCTGTAGGTTTTTTCTACAACAGTCGAGAAATTAGGAACTGTTGAGCTTGATGCTGATAAAGCAATGGACATGGCTCACATAAGTAAGCAGATAGAACGAATGCCTAAATTGCTTGAAACACCATAACCAGAAAAGACATGAAAGAATGCCAAGTTCAACTTACCTTTTTCACTAGTGATGGTATGCCATAATTGTAACTAATGTTGATTTTTATGGCATTGATTCTGTTAGGACTGAAATTCAGTGTAAAATTGTATTCGTCTTGAAAGTTAATTTTGTCTATAATTGTATAAAAGTCATCGTGTTTGACTTTTCATAGACAGTTTGACTTTGACTTTTGTCTTTATGTTTGACCCTATATAAAAGGTTAATTCCTTGTATTTTGAGTATGAGCTCAATTGTAAATCAGATTACGTAATAAGAAAGGTTTGACCAAGATTGTGGTATTGACTTTCTCTCTCTACTTGTTCTTCATGTTCTTGAACATTTTATAAAGATTGCCATAGATGCTTTGAAGATTACTTGAAGATTGATTGTTAGGGATTTATAATTGGTATCAGAGCATATTGTGCAAGAAATCAACGGAAGAAATCATCGAATTTGAAGAATTTTTTGAATTTTTTTTCTATGTTCTTATTTGTGTTCATCTTGAGTTCTTCATTTTTTTAAGAGTTTGATCCGAAATTTTTTCGAATCTTCGTGTTTTGATGTTAAAAATATGATCAAAATGTGCGGTTTTGAATAGTGAATCATTGTTATTCACAAGTTTTTTGTGTTTTGATCATTGATTTTCAAGATTTGTTAAAATTTGTAGTTTTAAATTTTTTTGTGTTCTTGAATTTTTTTTTAAAACCCAGTGTTTTTGATCCATTTTGGTTAAAAAAATAATTTGTTGTTTTGTTTTTGTTTTTGTTTTCTAAATCGCTTACCATTTTTTTGGCCCAAGGCCCATCCGGTTTAGACCATACATCTTGACCGGATAAGTTTACATCGGCCAAGGCCCAATAAATTTAAGCAGCTCTCATATCTGGTTCATCTCTTTCATTGCTTACCTAGTCGATCATAGCTTCTAAATCGAATAAAGCTCTAAATTGCAGAAGGCTTAAGCGAAAAAGGATTAAATCGCAGACTGCTTATTCGATTTAAAGTAGTCATCGATCACTGTTTGAGCGATTTATGTTGGTAATTTCCTATTATAAAAGGATAAAAATCTGATAATACAAGTTGGTATTTGGATAGGTTTAAAAATCCTGGTTTTGTGGTTATCCACATTCATACATTCCTTATATATAGCTAGGTTGATATCGAGTTTAGGGTATCACGAGAGGGAGAGATTGTAGCAAAGTTTTTGAGTTATTTTTCTTTGTTATAATAAGAGATATTCCTACAATTATTCGTGTTCATCATTCATCTTTCTATTGCTCTCAATAATTGGTATCAGAGCTAGTATTGAGGGCCTCGAATCATGACAGAAGCTGCTTCATCGTCGACTGGAAGTATGAAGGAAGGATCATCGTTTTCGTTCCATGTTCCAATGCTAAATACGACAAACTACACGGTGTGGGCAATTCGTATGAAAGTAATTCTCAACGTACATCAGGTATGGGACACCATTGATCCAGGCTCAAACGACCAAAAGAAAAACAATGTAGCAATAGCCGTCTTGTTCCAAGCGATTCCGGAAGATCTCATCTTGCAAGTCGGCACGATGAGCACATCAAAAGCAATCTGGGATGCAATTAAAACTYGRAATCTAGGAGCAGACAGGGTGAGGGAGGCCCGTCTACAGACCCTCATCACRGAATTTGATAACTTGAAGATGAAGGAATCAAGCACTATTGATGAATATGCGAGCCAGTTGTCGGGGATCGCATCRAAGTCGACCTCGCTTGGAGAAACTCTCGATGAAAAGAAATTAGTCAAGAAGTTTCTCACCAGCTTGCCAAGAAAATTCATTCACATAGTGGCATCAATTGAACAAATCCTTGATCTAAAGACAGTTGGTTTTGAAGATGTGGTTGGGCGTTTGAAGGCGTATGAAGAACGTATTCGTGATGATGACTCAACAAATGACCAAGGAAAATTGCTGCTTCACAAAACAGCAAACACCACTCGCAATTCAAATTCCGGTAGGGGAGGAGGGCGAGGTGGACGTGGGAGAGGACGTGGGGGAGGACGTCAATCCCAAAATCAGAATCGGGCCTCATCTAGTTCGAATAATGAGACCGATACTAAATCCAAGACCAAGAAGGATCGTTCTAAAATCCAATGTTATCGGTGCGATAAATTTGGCCACTTTGCATCTCAATGCCCGGACCGGAGAGCTAGACAAGAAGAATCTCATATAGCTGAAACAGAAGATCAAGATCCACAGTTGTTTATGGTCAAGACTCTCTACGAGACAGTTTTCTTGAATGAAGAAAAGGTGATACCCAACAAGTACGAGACCGGAAAAGACGAAAACAACATATGGTACTTGGACAACGGTGCAAGTAACCATATGACGGG